AGGGGATGCAGATAGAACTTGAGTTAATATCCTGAGTAGGTGGTGGCATCAGCACCATGCCAGAATATATTACAGGCTCACTTTCTTTGTGACCGTGTCTGGGTGAATTCTAAGAGATTGTTGTGGCATTTGTCTCGCTAGTGAATAAATCTTTGGGACTTTAGAATTTTTAAATTCATGTATGTCTGCCCACCATCTAATGAACTCTTGAGATCTGGAAAGATCCAGTATGTAGTTTGCAAAGGAAGTTAAAGATTTCTTTGAGATTTTAAATCTTTTATTGAATTTGAATAAAGCACCTAGAGAATTTTCCATAGAAAAAGATAGCATAATGTGCAAAGTTTTGAATTATTAATTCACTGTATTGTAACACTGAAAATTTGAGAAAGAAATCTATTTGCATATTAAATTGAAATCTGTAACTGTTAAAAAGTATAATAGTAACATTAAATTATTAAATTAAAGTGACCCTGGATTCACAGCTTTGGATGAAACCTAGCTGTGCTATGCTTTAGCTGAGTAACCTTGGGAAACTATAATATTTAACCCCCTAATTTCCCATTTCTTCCTCTTTAAAAAGGGAATAATAATGTATTGTGTATTATGTAAGGTAATAATAATAATATTATATATGTATGTACATACATAATAGTGTTGTGATGATCAAATGAAGGAAGTAATTTGTTTAGCACAGCACCCAACGCTCACTTCTTAGCTATTACAGTTGCATCTCCCCTGGTCATCACTGTCTATTGCTACTAATAATTAAATAACTCTTGTCAGTGTTTGGGAACTTCAGGAGGTCTCTATTTTTGAGACTTAGAGAATTGTTAGTATAATCTCTTCTGCTATGACACATGCTTTTTAAACTTTAGTTAGCTCATATACAGTTGGTAAATAGGAAGATATCAGTATAGCGTGGAAGTTGGTGAGTTCATCTGAGACTTTTTCCAGCAATCAGGGAAGCAAGTAATCTCACAGATAGAGAGTTTAAGAAAAATAGATGGAAATTCTACAGAAATGCCTTCCTCTAGTGCAAGCAGTGGCTGATTTAGTGGCCTCAAAATCTGTGGCACTTTGCACTATGTTAAAACTATATGGGGAAGCTTAAGAGTTACAGATGAAGGGGCTATGAAGACATTTCCCCCAGTGTTCAAAACACCTTGCACCCTGAATTCTATTTTCAATTTTGTTGAAACTGTGCACAATGACCTATATTTCAGTAGAGGAAGCATGAGTCCAGGGTTTAAGGAGATAAAAGATCGACTGACCTTTGTGCTTGGTGTAAACAAATGTCAGTGGAGATTTAGCTGTGTTAGTGTTTTTATTAATGATTATTACTTTTTTTTTTTTGAGTACTCTGGTTACCAAGTTCCATAGGTTTTCAAAGTTTTGTCCTATTTTTTTCATAAACCCTATTGTTTTTAGTGTGTACTTTTACAGAATATGCCTTTCAACAATGTGGTAGATGTTACCCAAATGAAAAACACCAGCCTATAACAATTAAGTGTAAGCAGATGTTGATTGTAGCCATCTGAACGATTCATTCTCAACCTGGGGCAATTTTGTGGCATGGGGGACATTATACAATGTCTGCAGAAATTTTTGGTTGTCACACTGGTGGTTGTGGTAGGGAGATTCTCCTGGCATCTAGTGGATACAGGCCAGGGATGCTACTCAACATCCTGTAATCCACCCGACAGCCCCACAACGAAGAGTGATTTGGCCCAGCGTGCGCACGGATGGTGCTGAGGTTGAGAAACCCTGGTGTAAAGTGTTCTTGTAGTAAGCACCAAATAAATGTTACTTAATATTTACATAATTATAGTAACACTTAACTTTTCAAATAAGTTATTTGTGATCTAGTGCTTTTGATTCTATTTATTTTTGTGCCAGTACAATATTGTCTGATTGCTGTTGCTGTATATTTTAATCCACCCAGTTTAGCTAATCCTTTCTCTTACTATTCTTTTCATAATTATATTTGATTTGTAGAGATTAATGTTTAGGTCATTTAATTGGCTTCCAAGACTAAATTTGTTCAATTTAACTTATTGAGTTACTTGTAGAAAAATTATATTCTTTTAAGATTTCATATCTTCTTTACTCTTTATTTATGCTCAAGTCATCATGTAATTTCTTTTTATAAACATACCTTCAGTTTTATTTCTTAGTGTTTTATACTTTTGTCACAATGAATGTGATTTTGTTACATTATACTTGTACTGTTTTTTTTTATTTTAATATTTCATAATTTAATACATTGACCAGAACTTTCAGAACAATATTAAACAAAAATGGTGACATATGGTATCTTGGTGTATTTGTGAATTAACTATAACATAAAAAACATAATATTCTAGTGGGGGTGCAAAGGAAATTGGGTTTAGAAGAAAGAATATTTCCAGTTACCCAGGAAAGGGCCTATAGGACGACAGTTTCATAACAGCCTTAGCTCTTCAGAGTCTTCCAACAACATTATGTGCCCTTCGGATATGCTGAAGAAGTACTTTATCCATGCTTTCTAGAAATCTTAAAATATAGCTGGAAGGTTAAGGCTAACACATTTAAAATCATTGCTGAGCCTGCATTTCTTTAAAATTATGAAAAAGAACGTATGAAGCAAAAATAGGATACTATATGCAATCGTGCAGTTAGTTGGTAAATATATTTTGTAGAAATTCAGACATTAGGGAGATGCTCATGAGCCAGGTTATTTGATGATGTGGGACTTCGGCAGATCATAAATGGAGGACGGAAGTGATGAGTTCATTGCAGTGACTGGAATGCACATGACCAGAGCATGGAATTAATCTTGGTCCTGCCTCTGGCTCATGCCGTTACCAAGACCATTCCAAAGATTACTGCTGGCTCAGCTAAGAATTTGTTACCAGATTCTAAACAAGTTTATTCAAGAGCTTCTTAAAACTTTTCTCTGGGAAGAAGTGATCAAACTGATATAAATGTAATTATATGGGGAATTCTCATGTACTGTGAGTGACTGTTTGAAATGGAACATTTCTATATTTATTCTTTTGGTTGTTACACTATTTTTGTTCTCATCCCATGGTATTATCTGTATCTCGGGTTTTAGTATAAATGCATCCAGTACTGTTGTTTTTCTTTTTATTGCTTGCAGCGAATTTTGGAATTCTTATACTGAATGCTGTGTACTGCAGAATGGATGGATGGAATTGAAATATATCAGTTGTACTAGAATTTGAAAAGTAAATATCTGTTTTACCCTTTTGTTTTGGAGTATATAACTATAACAGAAGGGCTTAATACTGAACACCATTACCGTTCATCTGTCTTTTTTACCATCACTGTTTATCTTACTTAAAATATATTATTTGAAGATACAGGGGAGTTGTAATTGTGCCATTCTCCTTTCCTAAGTTTCACACTGTTTACAAATTTTTCAGTTTTGGACTCCGAACCTAACCTAATGTTGATGTCTTGGCTCAACAGGCTGAGAATTATAAACAGAAACAATGAAAAATAAAATCCTTTCAAACCCTTCAGAGCTCTTTGGCTTTTTCTGCCCTGCTTTGTGCTGCTTTATGTTGGGGGCGGTGATTGGCTCTCTGGGTACCTGCCTTTGAACAAGGAGCATTGTGGGCAAGACCCCCACCTGACAGCAGTGGCTGACCCCAGAGACTGCAAACAGAACAGCTGCTTCTGCCTTCCCCCATTCTCCGCTTGAGCCGTTGATACCGTTTTGCTCCTATACTAGGACTGAACACGTTAGAAGCCGATAGCCTGGTTTGTCAGTTAGGGGCTGTTTAGCTTCAGAGTATGTCAGTCAGTGCAAGGCCCTGCCTGATGTTAGAGATGGAGTGATTCAAAAGCAAAACAAAGCCAAAACCAGTCCCCAGCCTAATAGGAAATCCGTAGCTGTAAATCAAAATTCCAGTCGACTCCCAAGTCCATTTTCCATGACTATACTTTGTCTTGACTTTGAGCCCTGCCTGATGGTTCTGTCTCCTGGTGAGATATTCATAAAACAAGGCATCCTGCATTATCACCAGTCTTTTCCTCAGCCCTCATCTCCTATTAGTTCCCTTCTTGCTGTTAATGCCAACGCTGCCCATGCAGTTCCAAGGTTTGACATCTACGTGCTGCATCGAGGCTGTCACCGACATTCCTGAATCTTCTCTCTTTGTTCTCTGTTGTCGTTGTCCATACCGTGTCCCTCTGTGTTCATCAGGCATCTCTGTAGAGCACATTATATGCCATTGCTAAGTGTGAGCTGTGAAGTCTGGCTCCGGTCTTGTCACTCCCCTACTAAAAACACAGGGGCTTCTCATTGCCTCCCTATTGTGAACCTGTGTGGCGTCTTCAGTACCATGTTCACAACCCACTTCCCTTAACTGTCTCTTCTCATCCCCCTCAGTGTGCTCCTGACAGACTGAGCTCCTTTTCTCTCTGTCACATTTTACAGCCTCATGACTTTTTTCATGTTCTCATTTCTGACTTGTAAGCCCTTTTCTTCTGCCAGTGCATTCATACCTTTCAGCTCTTAGCAGAAATGCCACCTCCTTCGTGACATCGCTCCCTAGCTAGCCTAAAATGATTTCTTTAATCTTTGGAATCTTACAGTCATATCTCTACATTTCTTATACCATCTTTTTTTCCCCTTTCATATTATAGTTATTTATGGGTAAGTTTTAATCATAGTTTAAGCGTCTTGCAGTAGGAGTGCTCTCTTTTTTGTCTTTATATCTCTTAGCCTGAGACTTACTTAGGGTCTCACACATACAAGTGCTCAGGAAATATATATGTGAATGACTAAATGAAAATATTATATGGTTGGTTTGGTTGTGTTATTATCAGTGTTCACTTTGCGAAGTGTTTTACATCAGCCGTCTGAAAGAATCTACCCCAACTGGGGATGTTTCCTTACGTTTTTAATGCTGTGGTAACCACAGTGATCAATTGTATGTGACAATGGATGTGCTTTGTGTTAACCATACTCCATTTCCTTTGTTCTTTGACAGGAGAGTCAGATGAGAGGGAACAGTCAAAATTAGAAGTTAAAGTTTGGGACCCAAATAGCCCACTTACAGATCGACAGATTGACCAGTTTTTAGTTGTAGCACGGTAAGTATGGCACTAGTGAGTCAAAAACATCTTTTCTTTTTATGGAAGAATTTATACATATTTTCTTTGTATTCTACTTTTTTTCATTGGTTGCATTTTTCTGTTTGTAGTTCTGTAAGAAAACCTAATAATGTATCATACTTCCTAAATAATATGGTTTATCATTAGTTTCTGTTTGAAAAATGAAAATAGATTTATTAAATTTTACTAATTGAGAAAATAAATACTTCCTGTAAGCACTGCAGAAAAGTGTAAAGAGGAAATTCAGCACCTAAAATCCCATATCTTTAATTAAAGCAATGATTGTTGAGGTGTCAATAATAACGCATCCCTCAAATCCCTCTTACTGCAGGAGTGAGGCCTGTTGCCTGCCGAGCACACGGCCTTCCTTTGAGCGCTCTAAGCCTGGCTGCCTGACTGGCTTGCTTCCTTTCTGCCTGCCCTCCTTTCCTCTTTTCTTGATAAAATGAATGGGACAGAAATTTATTTCTATGTTTTACTTATAAAAGTAAATGGTGTTCATGGGGGAATTGCTGCAAAGCAGAAGGTAAATGATATTATCATAGCATTGTAATAGCAGAAAAATTGGAAAACCTCAAAGTACATCAGCAAGCAATTGATGAATGCCTTGAGGCATACTTAATAATGGAATATTACTTTACAACAATCAAAATGAATGAGTTAGAGCTATAAGTAGCAAAGAGATAAATCTCAAAAATAATGTTGAGTGAGGATGCATACAATATGATCACATAAAAGTTTTATAATGTAGAGTGTCTTATTAATGGATATATATATATATATATATGCTTTTATATATGCAGAGGGTGCCAAAAAAGTATACATGTTTTAACTCTTTCGCTGCATTAATTGATGTCAAGTTTTTTTTTCAAAATGTGTCAGAAATCCACAAAAAAACCCAAAAAGTTGATATTTTGACTATTTTATGCATTTAATAACAATTTGAGCTGCTTTGCATATAAATGACATTTTTATGTATAAAAATTTTCTATTGTTATTCATCTTGTAAAACACAAAAATACAGAAAAATGTACATCTGGTTTCCTAAACTTTCTTTCTGGAAGTTTCCATCTGTAGTTAGTGAATGGAAATACTCATTTGGGTATATCTGATCATCATAGCAAAAGGGTTAAGAAAGGAAAAGTGTATTAAAATTGTAATAATATATACCGATAACAAAAGATGAATACAAGTCGTGTTTGACTTCTGCAATTACAAGAGGTGCTCAAAGTAGTTACATCAGTGTCCAGACATTTCTGATTACAGAGAACTACTGCTTGAGCAACATTGACCAAAGTGTCCACTTGTATAACTTTTTTTGGCATCCCTGGTGTATAAAAGGGACTATGTATAGGGGCTCAAAAAAAATTTATAATATTTATTTCCTTAAAGAGTTAATCAAACATGGCAAAATACAAGGTGTGATCAAAAGATATGGTGAATGTTTAAATAAAACATGTGTTATAGTAAAAGACACATTGCCATTAATCCCCCTCAAAATACTCCCCTCACTTCGAACACACTTATCTTATCGTCCTTGCCACTTTCTGAACAGTTCAGGGAGTCCTCTTTCATGAGTGTCTTCACTTCATCCACCATCATGACAATGCCTCGTGTTAACACATCGCTTCTGGTAAGGCAATTTCTGTCGAATAAAAACATTACAGTGTGTCCTCATCTACCCTATTCACCAATCTGGCACTGTGAGACTTCTGGCTCTTCCCCAAAGTCAAAATGACCATGAAAGGAAAACGTTTTTGTTTTTTTTTTTCTTTTTTTTAAAGATTTTTTATTGGGGAATTGGGGGGATGGGAACTCGGGGAAGGGGAACAGACAAGTTGCTGTCGTTTTGTTCCTCAGTCCAGTTGTGGAGGACACCGGCCCAAGTTGGCACCACCACTGCACTCCTCCCGGACAAGGCATATCAGTTACTGGCCTCTGGACGGCCGCCCACTGCGACCACTGGCTGCCGGCCACACATGGTAGCCCATGGCAACCCACTGCCACAGGGGCTGCAGCCTACACTGTCGCTGGCGACTCACGGCGGCCCAGCTCTAGGTTGAGCTGTTGTTCAGCATCTTAGCTGTAGAGGGCAGTGTCACTGGCCCTCATATGTGGGATCCGAACCGGGGCCCTTTGGCATCCCAAGCCAGCTCCCAACCATCGCGCCACTTGGCCGGCCCGAAAGGAGAACGTTTTGAATCCATTCAGGACACCAAGGCAGCCATGACAGCACAACTAAAGACACTCACTAAAGAAGACTTCCAGAACTACTTCAGAAAGTGGCAAGAACGATGGAATATGTTCGAAGCTAGGGGGAATATTTTGAGGGGGATTAATGGCTTTTACTGTAATAATTTTTTTTTTTAATTTAAACATTGACCATATTTTTTTATCACATGTCACATTAGAATCAGGTAGATCAGGACATGATTGCAAGAGTATTATATTCTATAATTTTCTGTTGAACTTTTTCATAATGCAGTGGGACCAAGAGTCTTACCCCATCCTTGTACAGCTCTGTTCATAGTTCCCGTCAGCATGAAAGTCACACATCATAATGGTGGCTAGGCATGTGAACTCCAGAGGGAGACCACATACCTAGCCACTAAGTGATTATTGTAGATGAAGAGACCTGATGGACATTGTTGGAGAGGAGCCAGTCAGTGGACTAGAAGAGATTGAAGATTCGGGAGTAGAAATGAATCATTGGTGGAACCACTGGCCTAGACAGAGACTCAGATAGGTTACCCGGATTTTGGTCTACATAGTAGATATTGCAATTTCAAGATATGATTATCATTCTGTTTTTCCCTTGATTGCCAAGAGCCATGTGTTTCCTTTTTCCTTGAAGCCAGCATAAGAGGCGCCAAGGAGATGCACCTAGTATCTTTCTCAATTTTTATTTCAAAAAAAAAAAATCTTCTAAATATAAATTAATACCACAATCAAATACCACTGCACATCTCACCAGAATGGTTAGCATGTACAAGCCCACAGTGCCAAGCATTGATGAAGAGGCGGAGCAACCAGCACTCGTATCCTGCCTGGTGGGAGTCTGAGTTGGTATAGCTGCTTTGGAAAACTTCGCTGTTGTCTAACATCCACATACCTTAAGTTTCACTCCTAAATATATACCCAGCAGAAATGCATGCACATACCTGTGCACCAGAAGATAGGTATACAGATGGCATATAAACATCAGTCTCCATAGTGGCCCCAAACTGGAAACACAGCCTCAGCCAGCAGGATGTGTGAATCCAACAAACATAATTTTGAACATAAGAAGATGAACACGAAAAAAAGACATAAGTTCTCAACTGAGCACAATGAACCTGTAGTGTTAGAATCCAGGATGCGGGTTTCATTGGGGGGGCAGAGGGAGAGAGTAGTGATTGGGAATGAGGAGTCTGCTGGGGTTCTGTCACCTTCTGCTTCTTGACCTGGATGTTGTGCATCCCTTTGCCATAACTTTTGGGTTGTCAGAAAAGTCATGACGTATTTTTTCTACGTTTTTCATTGCAAAAACGCGTCATGACTTTTCCGACAACCCAGTAAATAGCTGTACAATGTGTACTGTTCTGCACACGTGTTATATTTTAATGAAAATGTTTTTAAAATCTCCTCAGCTAACATGTTTAAAATACAGACAAGCAGCAATTCTTTATCTTCATTTCATGCTTTATCTCTTGAAGTTAGGGTTCTCTATATATGGGAAGTCCTTTTAAATCATTAAATGATAATCAGTGTTGTGGTAATTTTTTTTTTAATGGAAATCTTATATATTGAGCTCTCATAGGAAGAGGTTGATTTTCAAGGAAAAAAATGTAACTGGGATTTTACAATTTGCGCTAAAAAAAAAAGGGTCAGAACTTGTTTTGCAGTAATAGTCAAACTAGTTAATTTACTTCTCATTTTTGAGCACATTTGGATACCAAATTGTTTGCTCCATGGCGTTTCAAAATAGATCTTTCCCTTTGTGCCTCACAACCTACTTTTTCTTAATTACAATGACTCATGGTAAATTGGCTTGTCAATTTTTAGATCTTATAAAAAAAATACTTTTTGATACTTGAGTCTCAAACATCCAAGATCTTGTTTGACTTTTACAATTTTTCATTCACTACCTAACTATGTGTTTCTTTAAATATATATATGTATATATAAATAACAGAGCCTTGATTTTTCCTCCTTGTTTTTGTGGTTTATTCAGTGCTGTTGGGACGTTTGCTCGAGCCCTTGATTGCAGCAGTTCTGTGAGGCAGCCTAGTTTGCATATGAGCGCAGCTGCGGCTTCTCGAGACATCACTCTGGTAAGATGCTTTTTGAAATTTTGGGGTTATTGCTTCTGCTGCCTGTTTCATTTTAAAGTAAAAACAGCAGTGTTGTAGGCATGAGAGCTTTCTGGCTCTTAGTCCTGCTGACTGCTAGGTTGATTTGACTTGGCTGGTTGGTTCACTGGGCTGTTTCATTCCTAAGTCACCTCTTATGTGTGTGAGCTGAGACGGTAAGAATGATTAGTCACTGGAGTAAGTACAACATGGTAAAAAATATTTGGGGGAACACAATTCAACATTCTGACTCATCTGTTTTCACTTCTGTGGTTTTTTTTCATGTATTCCATCTATTACAGATTAAGTGAAAGTAACCACCTCTTGAAACCGTTATAGGAATTATTCTGTTGTCATGACCATTATTCAGTATCACTATTTAAAGTTTTTCTGTCTGTTCGTTAGAAAGAGGTTCTGTTTTCTTATGGTATTTCATTACATTGTGGTTGCCATATTTTAAGACTATTTCTTTATTCTCTTGGTGATCATATGAAGCTTCCCATATTCAGTTTAATTATCCCACTAATGCCCGAGATGGTTGGGCATTAGGCGTGGCACTTGAATCTCTTGTGCCCTCCAGCAGAGTAGGCCTGCAGGTTTTTTGCCGATTGAAGTTAATTATTATATTTTGTTGCAACCCACAACCCTTGGAGATCGGCATGATAGGTTATTCATTTTACAGATGAGAAAACTGAGGTTTGGTGAGGTTATTTGACCAATATTCATTACATGTAAAAAAAGTTGCAATTTTATTTTCCGATGGAATGAAATACAACAACATATTTATTACTTTTTATTATATTCCAATTTGAAATGCTATTCACAAAATATTTCTCATAATGTAAAAACTCATACTGGAATGCACACCAAATTGGTTTTTTATTATGCTTTCTTGTATTTTTGTACAGTTATAGATGGTGATGAAAAAGCATTGATAGTCTGTACCCATTATGGAATCCCTTTCTCAAAGACTAGAATGTGTTTATAGAAGCAAATTTTGTTCTCTTCACTGGTACATTAATATTTCATGTAAAAGTTTGAGGGTTTCAAAATAAGTTTGTATTTTGGCTGTGTAAAACTTAGAGAGTACTCTAACAAAGAAGCAAGAGTACAGATGTCACGTTTGTAAAAACCTTCAAAATCCTGTCAACAGAACTACATGGAATCACCATCTGTATTTGTTTTTCTGTTCAAAAGGGTTTTTTCCCAGTTCTAAAATTAATGTATGCTTATGAAAAATACAGTATAGCAGCAGCCAAAAAAGTTTGTTCTCATTACCCAGAGTAGAATATTCTTTACCATTTTGTTTTTTTGCATTATAAACAAAAATAATAGCAAATTGCAGAATAGTACAGAGGATAATGGAATAAAACTCCACATAGTACCACCTAAAACAAGTGTGAATAGTTTAGTTGTTTGGATTAAAAAAATTTTCAACCATTGTGGTTAATGTTGAAGTCGCTAATATTTTCCCCTTAGTTCTATTCCCTCTCCTCCATCTGTACTTCTGACCTCCACTACCTTTGCCTCCTGTCAAGAGGTAGCCGCTATAACAAATCTGCTCAATCTATCTAGTCTGTTTTTATAGTTTTACTGTGTATTTATGTATCCAAAAACAGCATAAATGTTTGTTTTGCATGTGTTTAAATTTACTCTTAACATTTTGCCATTTGCCTCTTGAGATCTAGCTATGTTAATAAATACATACCTGGTTCACTTGTTTTAACTACTTTGTAGTATTCCTTTATAGAATACTATATACCACATTATTTATATACTCTGGTACCACTGAACATCTTTAGAAACATTTTTCTTTTGCCGCCTTGAAAGTTACAACACATTTCCCTTTGTGAGAACGTGTGTGAACTTTCTAGGCTATAACTACAATTGAAATAGTAATTCATAGGGCAGTGCTCACTTTGAATTTGACCACATGCAGCCAAGTTATTCTGCATACCATGGTTGAATTTTATAATCCCACAGCAGCTGATGAGTGTTCTCCTTTCTCCATTCATTTCCTTACATTATCTTCAACACTTGGTATTTTTAGACTTCACATTTTTAGTAACATGATGCTACCTCATTGTAATTTGTATTTACCTGATTATTTAGTGAGGTTAAGCGTGTTTTCATATATATGTTTATAGCTCTTCAGTTTTTTTCTTCTTTGTAGTTTGGATTCATGTCCTTTGTCTAATCTTCACTTGTAATGTTCTATTTTTTCTAATAGCTTTAAAGTTTTATTCATATTTGGGACTGTAAATACACCTGAGTTTATTATTTTTATTATTTTTATTTTTTTTAGATTTTATTGGGGAATTGGGGGAGGGGAACAGTGCTGGGGAATTGGGGAAGGGGAACAGATAAGTTGCTGTCCCCTTGCTCTTCAGTCTAGTTGTGGAGGACATCGCTTCACTGGTCCATGTTGGTATTATCATTGCACTCTTCCCGGGCGAGGCAGATGGGTCACCAGCCACTGGATGGCCACTCATGGCAGCTGTTGGCAGCTCACGCTGGCTGCAGGCCACTCACGGTAGCTTTAAGGCAGCCCACTGCAGCCTATGCCGTCACAGGTGACTCATGGCAGCCCAGCTCCAGGTCGAGCTGTTGTTCAGCATCTTAGCTGTAGAGGGCGCAGCATCACTGGCCCTCATGTGGGATCCGAATCAGGGTCCTGCTGCTCAGAGCTGGCGTCCCAAGCCAACTCTTAACCAAGTAACGTGCCACTCAGCCGGCCCCTGAAGTTTATTTTTAAGAATGGAGTGAAATCAGAGTCTGATTTTGTTTTTCTCCATATGGAGTATTAATAATACCATCATTTTTAATGGAATTTGTTTCCTCGTGATTTTGTAATGCCGTTCTATCTTACTTCAAGGTCCTAGATAATGCTTGGGTCTGTTTGGATTCCTAATCTAGTCTCTTCTGTTTTGTTAACCTACCGTATTTGCCGGCGTATAAGACGACTGGGCGTATAAGACGACCCCCTAACATTTCCACTCAAAACACAGAGTTTGTTATATGGTCGGCTGTGTGCGATTTTGCGAGTATGGTAAAATCGCATAACAGCAAAGTCGCATAACAGCCGAGCATACACCCAGCAGCGCTGCTGATGCCTGAACGGTATGTGGAATGAAGTGGGCGGGCATCGGGAGGCCACTATGGCACGGGGCAAGCACTATGGGCAGTCTATCTGAAGTGTACCTGGCGTATAAGACGACCCCCCACTTGGAGGCATATTTTTCAGGGCCAAAAAATCGTCTTATACGCCGGCAAATACGGTATATGTCTGTCCTTGCACAAGCAGCACACTATAATAAATTATGATAGCTGATAAGTCCCATGTGAACTTCGTTTTTAACACAGTTGACGTCATTTAAAACAGAATTTTGTTCTTTGCCCCCCTCCCCCGACCCTCACCATCTTTTCCTTAACAGTATTGCATAAAACACTATTATTATAAGAACCCGTAAACTTTTTTCCTAATGTTGCACAACCTTGCCTTGTATAGATACACTGTTGCTCATGAAGCCCGGTCTCTTGTGGTTTAACACCGTTCTTAGGAGATAATGCTTCCCAGATTATAACTGGGGATACTATCCCTGTTATAGCACAGCAGTTCCCTCTGTTTTGTCTGAGGAATGAGAGGGGGAAGGCCTGTTCCTGAGATGGTACAGAGCTGTTTTGACAGTCGGGACTGATTTGCCTGCCGAAGTCGGCCAGGTGAGCAGCCAGCTAATGGCCTTTCGGTTTGAGCTGCAGTAACTCTCTGCTTCCCACTGCTGGTGACTGATGGGACAGCGGATGAATTTCTTTGGGAAGGAGCCGAGTTTTCTAGATTCAGTATCTGTTTCCGTCAGCAAAGACCATTTATAAAAGAAGCATTTTAAAGAGGACACAACCTACCTACCTTAATTAGTTTAAATATCATTTTGTGTGTGTCTTTTACAATATGTGGCTATTATGCTCCTTCTAGGCAGGTACTTTCAGATCCTCCAGTGTTTTCATCTCTTCTGTTTTGTTTCCTTTAGCAGTTTGGAGGTCGCTTTTGTATTACATCAGTTGTTATTTTTTTATGTATTACAACAGCTGTTATTGTTTTAAGCAGAAGTGTACAGTTTCAGAAGCCCAGGAAATTATATCTGTTCTTGACTCCTACTGAGGGAGTTCTCTACCAGATTACCTCTTCTGTTTCATTCTCATTAAAATGGCTTGGTTTAAATGTTGTTATTGTCTCTCTTGGATTAGACAGCACTGAAGAAGGTCTGCTCTTTTGTCTGCAACCTTTAAGTGCCTTGGTTTCGTGGCCTAACTACTCTTGGTTCAACTTCCTTGGACTCTTTCTATATGTTGTTCTGTGTTGAGATTATATTTTCAGTGCCATAAAATTGACATCTTATTTTTTTTATTGTTAGTTTCAGGTGTACAGAACAATGCAATAGTAATCCTTTTCACCCTCACAAAGTAACATCTTTTAAAAGTTGCAAAAGCAGGAATAAATCATGCCCTGTTTTGTTTCGGTTTTTTGGGGGGGTCAGATGCACCTTTAATCCTGTTTGCCTGGTATGGTATCATGCCTTCCACTTTGGTGTTAAAATATTGGGTCGTCGGGAAAGTAATGACATATTTTTCTATGTTTTTCGATGCAAAAATGCATCATGACTTTCCCAACAACCCAATATAAGATCCTGATGCAGTTGTATGAAAATGAACAGGAGTGGTTAAAAATTGATTATTAATATGTTGATAGTATGAGTTTTGCAGATTGTTTTCCAAAAAGAACATGTGAAAGGCTGATAAGTTGCTCGTGCCATTAAATGAAAATGGATTTATTATTCAGCTGAATTTGGAGAATCAAGTTCTTATTTTTCTTTCAGTGTTTGCAGGTCTGTAACAAACACATCAGGTTAGTACTTTTCTCCATCAGGTGACCAGACCATGGATCTGAAGACCTACTGCAGAGAGGGCAGGGTTGAGGAACTGCC